AGGATAACATTGTAACAACTGGTTTGAGACTGAAAAAATAAAAAAATACCATACACACAATGGATAATGCAATAATTAGAAGTAGAATGGAACCTGGATAAATAAGCATCTATTCTGTAATACTTGAAGTCAAGAAAACTTTGTAGCTACTTTGAAATTGCAGAGCTACATCTGTGTTTAACAGGCTGTATTAATAAAAAAAATAGCTGAACTGAAGGACTGGAGGGATGACTGCTAAAATTATTAACTGTAGTTACTAACTGCAGTTTCATGTAACAGATATGGCCACGGGACACGGGTAGTGTTAACTTTCCTCCTTAATTTACACAATAAATTATGAGGAAAATACTGGAAAAATTTCCTTCCTGAGGATCAGGGAGGCTTTCAAACCTTTGGCCTCAAAGGAACATATATTAGTGATACTCAGTGTAAAAGGAGACAAATCATGTGAACACTGACCATACCCTGTCATCACACTGAAGGCTCCACATCTCTATTGTGTGACAATGTTTACATACAATCTTTTTGAATTGCTATTTGTCAAACAAGGAAAAAAAAAAAAAAGAAACAAGAAAACAAGAGAAGAAAAAAGAAGAAAGCCCTAATTCCCTACCAAAGAATAAATCTACCACCATGATGTTGACTGCCCACTTTCTAAGCACTCTGAAGTGATGAAAACGTCCAAAGAATCAAGTCCAGTATGTGAAGAACCTGAAATGTGTTGATTTCAGGTTTAATCTATAAGTAGCAAACCTTCTGTCCAAAGCAATGACTATGCAGGTCGCAGTCCCAGTATATCTCTGTTACCAGGTATTTTAAGCCCCTGGAAAGCAACCACAGCTGGATAGCTTCAGCTGGGAGAAGCCAGATTCTAACACATGCAGGATGGCATCTCCTAAGCCATTGTAACAGACATATTATTGAGAAAAAAGATAAACTTGTTTAGGAAGTTTTTTTGTCTTCTACCTCCAAAAAACGTAGTAAGAGTGAATAGAGTATAAAAGCTAAACAAGCTTGCTATGCCCTAGTTCACACACACCTGCTAAAGCACCAGCTAGTTAACTTCCAACACAAGGTATGACCTAGCTCTTCAGCCTCAACATTGGACTGGTGAGGCCAAGAATCTGGCTCCAAAATAGCAGTAAGACACTTTGGACCTATTTATCATCAGTTCTATATCAATATAACACCATGAAGAGCTGTGGTATCACATGCACACTACAGAAAATGTAGTAAGGCAGCAATTATTCAGGCATTTTGGGGAAAGACCTGCAAGAACAGTGCAGAGGGTGCTGACTGACCCCTGTCCCAGACACGCTCTCTGAAGTTCCACTGAGCAGGCAGTACTCTGCTCCATTTGTGCGGGATACTGACAACTTGTCATCTGAACCTCGAGGTTCAAATTCTGTGAAAGGGCACAATTTGAGTCTACAGCATTACCTGAGCAATTTCATTGGCTCTAAGGTCAGAAGGATGCCTTTATTTAATCTATTTCCCAATGCAACACACAGGTATTCAGACAAAAATTCATAAAATAAGTGGCAGGAAGAGCAAGAATAAATCTTAAATCATTCTCACAAAATATTTTGAATTTGAAATTCTATTTGAAAATGACAGCCTTCCTCCATTGCTGGATCTGTAAGTAGCCACACCTGAATGCCACAGCAGAGTACTCAAGTGCTACTTTGTGCTATTCTGGTTACAATTATCACTGAATCCATGGGGGAAATGCTCATCATAGAAATATTTTTTGGATAAAAGAATTTCTTTTTAAATGCAGACAGAATTCAGTCCCATACTTACATATGTGCATTATTTTCAAGAGCATTACTTAAATATATAAATTTACCCACATATTTAAGTGTTCTGCTGTATCAGAACCATAATGAATGAATAGCTAATACTACAAATTAATAAGCAATATTAAAAAAGCCCCATATTTTTGAAAACACTATATTCAAGTGTTTGTAATTAATTTAGGACTTTTCAAATGTACATTTCTAATACCTAGTAGGAGATTTGTGTCTCCACTTACATAACAGTAAGTTCTGAAGAACTACATGTTACTACATGCACTTTTAAAGATATATAGGCTGGCCAAAGAACTGAAATACAAATTGCACCATAATATTCAAAGTTTCTTGCAGCTGCTCACACTGTACTGAAAGGCTATAAAATGTCATTGGTTCCGAACTAAACCATATTTTATCCAGTATGCTCGAAGGGAAGAGGAGGGACCAAAACCAGAGGGCTTTTGACTAAAACTGGAAACGTGGAAAGTCCCACTCTTCAGATTATTCCAGCCCTGCAATGATCTACAAATTATCTCCTGAGGGTGCTGCATTCATAAGCACCCAAGGCCATGGCAGCATCTATTCTGAAGTTTTCTTCTTTTTGAGGAAACAAGGGTTAATGGGAGGCCAAGCAGGGACAATTAACCTCAACTCCATGTATTTGGGCTACTTCTCCTCTCATGTTCCTCACTCTAAATCAGGACTAAATGGTGGAAGAGGGCATGGTGGCACTTTAACAATCAGCAGATGTTATTGCTCCATGTAATCACTGGCTGGTAAGCTGCAGGTGACTTGGGTTTGCTGCCAATAGCAGCCCGTGGGTGAGCAGGACACCTGCTTCACCTCTTCTTGTATTCACTGCTACCAAGCCTTTTGTGTTCAGGGACAGAGAGGGAAGGCAGCAAAAATAACAACTTAATGGGATTTTATGTTCTATGGTGAGAGGATCTCACAGCAGGAAGACAGCATGGGCCCCTTCACTGGATGACAGGCAAAGTTCTTTTTTTGTTCCTGTGAAGTTGGTTTAGCACCGTGTGTTGACCATGACCACTGCCAGGGGTGCACCCAATGTTTGGAGATTCTGCTTCCTGCAGCAATGACAATCTCAGAGCACAGCGTTTGTTCACAGGTCTCAGCCCATAGACCAGTCAATGACAATGCTGGAACTGACATTTCTAGGAGGTGGATGTGTTTCCCCTGCATACCTTTATTGGCTTAGTTTAGACTATTATAGATTACTCATGAGAAACCCTCCTTCAGGAATCAATCAAAAACCGGCCAGAGTTTGGATTTTCTTTCTTTCAGAGGACGCTGAATTAATTGATTTTTTAAAAATTTATTCACATAGCCAAAATTTTCTATGCCCAAAACCAGGAAAAAATCTGTTTGAAAAGTAAGGAATTACATTTTGTTTTGCATATAATTCTCAAAGAAAAATTAAAATTTAATTTCTAATTAAAAATTAAAATTGAAAGTATGTAAAGAAGGCTTTTTCAGTATTTCTGAAGTTAGTATCTTTCTTTCTACATTCCACTTTTTCAATCACTTAGGAAATATGAATGTTCTTATAAGTCGAAGGGTCAGGATATCCTAAAAAAATAGATGGTCTCCATTGAAACAAGCTCTGAAATCCCTTGAAAGCTCAGAAACACCAGCAGCTGCAGAAGTATCATTTTTATCACTCATTCTTTGGCATCAGTGGCATTAGCTCCTGACAACCCTACTCTTCTCTCCCTTGTTTTTTGTATGGAACAGAAGCACACAAGGCATGAAATAGAAGAGATCAGGATAGATGATTAATCTGCAGTCTTTTACAATTCCCTAAATGCTCTGAGGTATCTGAAAAGACTGTCACTCTTCACTTATCCCTGTGATGAATAAAATGGGGAAGTGATAAAAATGGATGAGTGCTGGGCTGCAATTACACTTTGTCCTACTACTTTGCCAATTTTTGCCATGGTACAAAATTCTTTGTGCAACAAGCATTTGAGACTAAAGCAAAAGGAAACATTTTTATCATTTATTCTGACCTCTTATTTTATATATATATCAAACACCTTTGAGCCAAGGAAATTTATTTCTCAGGACAAGAAGTATAGAACTCAGTTATCTCAGAAAGTGTGTGCTAACTGAGGACATGCTGTATCTGGTGGCTTCATAAGAAGAAAAGAATTCGCAGGCTTAATCCAAAAGAAGCTGTTAATATGGACAGAATAGCAGGAAGAGATCAAAACAATATTCCTCTATGTTTGGGGCAGAAGAATTGGAGTCATCAGACAGGAAGAGTAAGAATTGTTACAAACTACATAAATGGACTGAGACATTCTGAAATAAGCAGCCCCATGGGTACTCCCATGGGCTGGTCAAGAGGATCCAGGTGATGACAAAAGGCAGGTGGCAAAGGCAGAGAGGGAAATCTACTCTTCCCAGGACAACTCAATGGATGCCAAGGAGAGTACTGCCTTTATTTTCAATTATTTGGTTCCATATAATGTTTGATCAATATACATGTTCTAAATTGAAAAATCAAATCAGGAATAACTCTGTTCAAAAATATGTAGAAGCTCTGCTCTTTCCTATTTATTTGCATACAAGTTCTCTACTCTGCAAAATCCAAACCAGACTATCACTGAGTCCTCTTAAAAGACTGCTTTTTAATTTCCTACACTTCTAAGACTTCCCCTGCAGGGCACAATACAGTCTTGACTTCCCAGTGTCCAACTGACATAATTTTCTGCCCTTTGAGACATCATTAGTACCTCATGTATGGCACTACAAAGCCTCCAGAGTAGGAAATGAAATGCCAAGCACATTTGATTAGAAAGTCTCAGCATCTCCCAGGGAGAGAATAAACTACAGCAATTTGGAATAAACAAAGGCCACATCACATCCTGTGAGTCCACACTTGCCAATAACTTCTACTCTTAGCCCTTCACCCGGAGGCCAAAGGACAGACAAACTCACCCTTTGCCTTCACAGGAGCTTTCAGTGACGCTGAGAAAAGGCAGACATGTGTGGGACAAACCACACAGCCGGGACCTCCAGACCTGTCCCACCAGGCTGCTCAGTGCTGGGTGTCACCAGCCCTCCCTTCCCAGCTGCCCCCACAGTGGCAGGCTGCTCACAGCCCCTGCAGCAGGGGCTCCTCTGCTCACTCCTGCAGCCTGAACTCTGCTGCTGCTGGCTGCCAGGGACACGCCAGGTCCCAGACACCAGGCGAGGCCATTAGCCCTCCCTCGGGACTTTCCCACTGAAGCTGAACTAGACTGGCATGCAATTCTGAAGGACAGCCAAACTTCCTATCAAACCATAACCAGCTGTTTTCTTCTTCAGGAAAGTATGGACTTGGTGCTAGTAACAGCCACCCAAATAACATTGCAGAAATATGCATATATCTGCTCTGGTATGTGTGTATGATTCCTACATCTTAGTATTACTATAAACCAATACTGAAGTTTTTTACTTCAAGCATTACAGTATCCTACATACTTTGTGAAGAATGACTACATCCCATCAAGTGAAAAATAATGCACATTTTGACAGGATAAAGATGTTACAACTCAACATTTGCAAACATTACCTGATGCATAACTCTTGTATGGCTTGACATTTTATTAACAGTACTTTAAACCTTATGTTATTTTTTAATTTAATGATTACGCCTGAAAATAGCCCCTTTCAAATTCAGTTGCAGTAATGTCTTTAAAAGCAAGCTTTAAACTTAATTTGCTGCACATACACTTATCCAAATAAGTTGCATAGTTTAAATAAGTTCAGTTGTGCTTTGTAGCAGAACTCACAGTAATTACTCATCTCTTAAAAATACAATTTGCGGATATGAAGTTGACAATACATTTAAGCATTTTTGTGAGTGTAGACATCAACAATATGAGTTTTTGTCACTCTTCCACTGCCTTCTGCTGTTCTTAACACCTCAGCTTTACAATGGTATTAGATCAGAGCATGGACATTAAATGGACACATCTGAAATCATTACAAACACAATTTTTAAAACTCCATCGTCGGGAGGGGAGAAATAAGAACTCAGGTTGGTTTGAGGTATCCAGCCCTCAGGAACGTATTATGGTTGTTTGCATCAAGCTTTGTTGGTTTTATCACGTGTTACATTTAGATTAAAAATAGAAGGCACAGGTGTTTTACAAGGCGCCGTAACTAAGTCAACCAACAAAAGTAAATATTACATTACCAAGCCAGGGGTCTATATCTCAGCAGTGACTTCTTCCAATGCATTTTCATTTGAGGAATTTATTGCTTCTGAAAAAGGGCCGGGGTAGGTCTGTGCTAAGCAGTTCATTCCTTGTGCCACACTGATGTCTCCTTGGGAACTGAAGGTAGGGCAGGATCTAGTCCGTGCATAGTTTTGTTGGGGTCCAGGTTGTCCAACCATCTCACTCACAGTGTTCACCGGCGAAGCCCTCCAACTCTGTCTCTGCAGTTGTTCTTCTTTACACTTTATGGAATACCAGGCCAGGAAAATAAAAAAGAATCCCACAAACTTGAGAGCAGCTGCCAACCCGAAGTAGACAAAACGAAACGAGGTGACATCGTATTCCCAACAAGATCCTTGTACGCCGCAATCCTGTTGCCAAAGCATGCACGTGGTGTCAATAACAGCCCCAAAATAAATTGGAGTGGGAATGTAAGCTGAAACAAAAATAGCAAGAGAAATAATATGTGTTAGCATATCGTGGAAAACTTCTACAGAAACTGTATGCCCCAGCCAAAGAGTAGGTTCAACATTTTTGAGATTTCTACACTGCTGTTCGCACATGAAATGTAGAACATGAAAAACTGGCCAGCCAGTCTTTCCACCAATACTATTTGCCCCACACATTAAACCTACCACAAATGGGAGAGAAATCAAAGACAAGCCAGCAGCACCTTACAACAGGTACTTTAATCTGCTGTCCCCAGACAGCTCTTCTTGAGCTACATGTCCCTCCCAAAAAAATCCAATTTTGCTCTCAGGAGGAAAAAAGGTAAAATACATTATCTCCATAGCATTACCTGTAGAACATCCTTTGCCCACGATCTGGGAAAGGTGCTGTTTTTAGATCAAGGTGAAAAAGCACTGAAGATCACAAAATGTTTTTGAAGATAGATATGAGGGATAAGACCATTAGGATTATAAATTTCCTTTTGAATAGATCTTCCCAAGATACAATTTAAATTCTAAGGCAGCTAAAAATGCAGCCAGTCCAATGAATGCTCCTGCTTTCCCCAGAAGTACATCTTAAAGATGAGATTGAAACATCCTTCCTCAAACAAAACATGAAGATGCAGCTCAATGGGCTTCTCTTGTTCTGTTAGAACAGACCTTGCTTGCTCTAGTCATGTATCTCATAGTAGCTGAACACCTGGAGTGTTCTTTATGGGTAGGATTTTAGAAATTCAAGAGCTTGAAAGAGAATGCTTTGAAAAATAAAGACTTTTAACATCTATCCATTTTTGCTTTGAAATACTGGAAAGACATTAAATAATATTTGAAGAAAGACATTAAAATTATGCTTATTTTAAAAAAATGCTTATGTTTAAAATTAGAAAAACTACTGTTACTGTTGAAAGCAACAAAATTCTATTTTTGAAAGTTTAAAAATCCTTATAAAATAATATTTAGCAACTATTAATTTTTAAATACCATTTGAAACTAAAAATTATCTTTCTGTGAAATAACGTTGTTCTAGAAAGTCAGTAACCAAAAAAAGTAAATTAACAACATTTTCAGATGCAATCTTTTCAGAAGTCATTAATTTTAGGTTCCTAATACAATTAGTCCAGCAAATAGTTGCAGATTTATGGAATTTTAATACTTTTATGGTATATTTAAGCTGAACATGGCCTTTATGGAAATGCTGATCTACTGTGAGACTTACCAAGAGTTCTTAATAAAACAAACTGCATTCCTAGTGCAAAGGGCCGCTCCCCATCTTCCACAGACCTAGCAGGTGAACAGAAAACTCCAGTGAAGAAACAGCCATAACCAATAATCATCTTGGTATGTTCTGGCTCTACCCCATGGTTTTCTTCTCAGGTATAGAAAATCTTTGTCTAAATTTCTTCTCTTTAGCTTCTACTATTGTTAACTCCTACTGCTAGAAAAAAATACAGCCAGCCCCTCCTGGACCTGTTTAATCAAAATCTCACTCATGCCTTTTGACCTTTCTTTACCTGTGTAAGGCCAGAAGAATTTGATTTAAACACATTAAGGAAATTTAGAGAATCCACACAAATGTTTATGGCTTCTCATTATAGCTTTCTATTATTTCATACATCTTAATTTATCTTTCTTAATATTTTTGAGGTAAATTAGAATTAAAAGATAACTAAATTGTTGAAGACTGGACTCAGTTTCTGAATTTAACACATCTTTGTGTAGCATAAGCACTCTGGAGTTACTTCAGGAAAAACATCAGTACAAACATCCAAACAGTGTCTTTAAATACCTTTTCAATTCAAGCAATACAAGATTCCTTCCGGCAGTTTCAAAGGAAAAATGTCAAGCTTACAAAGACTAAATACAAAGTAATAAAATTCCACACTGCAACTACAATTTTAGTAAACCATAAATTATCTCCTGATTTTAAAATATTTTTAATTCTTTATCTAAAGGTCTTAAGATAGACAGCTTCTAATGACATTGAAATACACCATAAAAGCACAAAAAGTCTGCATTCAAAGCTGTGATGCAGCTATGAAATCTAGTTTTGAAGTCAAGAAATTAGAAGTTGGAGAACCAACTTGGGCCACAGACCTTGGACCAATGCACAAAGCACAGTAAGTGGTTTGGGACAGCAGGTGTCACTGTTCATGTGTGTGGGCCCCTATTTTTTGTACTGAACATTACAAAATCCTGTTGGAGATGTCACTTATGTACCTCATCACTATTGTGAAGTTCACTGCAATATTGATCTTCATTTGCCTTGGATAATTGCAATGCAAGGGCAATATTGTTTTTATTACTATTATTTTACATGTGGGAAATCCAGAGACAGGAGGAATAAAGTCAGAAGTCTCTGAATTATAATGGTGCTATGCACACAATAGCTGAAGTAAGGCTGAGCAGCTGGAATTCTGATGTGTCCAGCCCCGAGTGCCTGGCTTCAATGTCCCAACAGTGACCTTTAAATGCGTTCTGTGGATTTTTTGAAAAGCAAACTGGAAAGCAAAATTCCTCAATGTGACACAGCACAGTTCTGTGTCAGCAGCAGGCTCCTGCATAAACCTTAGCACTTGAGCTGAGAAAATGACAGCAAGTGCTTGTCCTTGGAGGAGGTGAGACAAAGATTCCTGCCAAAGGGTTTTCAGCTGTGCTCAAAACTGAGTCTAAGGATACCAAAGCTAAGTACTGACCTGCCTCACGTTTTCCACAGTTTCATGACCTATTACAAAGATTTGCCACTATTATTATTTTTAGAGGGGCCTACATTTGTCCCAGAATATCAGAGTGAAGCTCTAAAGACAGCACTAACAGAAGGAAATCCTACTTGATTAGGAGGATCATTCTCACAGAAATAAAAGCCATGAGACTAGTGTAAAAAAAAGCTCAATTTGAAGACAGATTTTACACAAAACCAGGACAAAAGGTGTCTCTATGTTAGCAATTAATGCAGCTAAACAGCTAATGCTGAGACTTGACATGAACACCACAAGCATTTCAAGAAACTGTAGGGATTTACTTCAGATCAGCTCTAGCCTGGTCTCATGGACAGGATGCCCATTTGCATCTGGATCATTTTGGGTGTGCCTCTGAAGAGTACCTCAAACACTGCAAGAGGCTTCCTAGAGAGGTGGTCAATGCCTCATGCCTGTCAGTGTTTGGACAATGCCCTCACTATTAGGTTTTTACTTCTGCTCAGTCCTGCAGTGGTCAGGCAGCTGGACTGGACGATTAGAGAGAGTATTTACAGAGCATGTAGGGACAGGACAAGGGGCAATGGCTTCAAACTGAAAGAGAGTAGGTTTAGATTAGATATTAGGAGAAAATTCTTCACTGTGAGGGCAGTGAAGCACTGGAACAGATTGCCCAGAGAAGTGGTGGATGCCCCATCCCTGGAAGAGTTCAAGGTCAGGCTGGATGGAGCTGTGGTCTAGGAAATGTGTCCCTGTCCATGACAACAGGTTGGAAATAGGTAATTTTTAATGGCCCTTCAAACCCCTTCATATTCTATGATTCTGTGCTCACTGAAGGTCCCTTCCAACTGAACTATTTTGTTCTTTTATCTTCCAACTCATCTTCATCTGAAAAGAACTTACTGCTTCAGCTCTGAGCTCTTCAGCTTCAGATCCCAAACCAAATAGACATCTTTAAACCATTCTTCGTCCTCCTGTTACCAGCAGAACCAATGCTTATCAATATGCTCTGTAAATTCTAGTAAATAATGATATAATTTTCCTCTAAGTCCTCCCTCTCTTTAAACAGCAGCAACACAGATTAAACAAATACAAATTTATTTTAGCAGTAGACCATACTGTATTTTTTCAACTCGCTTTTCTTTAAAAATCAGCAGAACTTCACTTACAGGAACTATGTTTTAAATGGACAAAGATGTTACAGCGAATGATTATGTTCATCAAACTAGATGGCAGAGATGGGAAAAGCCAATCCAAAAATATGAATGCTTTTTTTCAAACTGACAAATAAATGCCACTGCCTTTTTCCTACAAAGGCTGTGTTGTTCTCTCTCCTTGGAGTAGTGGCAATAACACCACTACTACAGTACAAGTTCAAAATTCTTGTGAAGATAAAAAAGGAAGACTCAAAACCAGATATGTGGCAGGAATGAGCAGTTTTAAGAATGAGAAAAGGATAATTTTCAATACTAACTTTTTTCATTTGCATTTGAAAATCCAAACCATTGCCCCAAGAAGGTTGAAAAATTTTCAGGAGAAATCATATTCTTCCATGATGTTTTGCATGTTTTCTCTTTATGGCATCTGGAATTTACTGTGCACTTCATGTCTCCTGAAGTAGATTATCATATTACATATTCTAAATACAAACAGATTTCACCCTATCCCTGTCAGCCCTTTCACTTTTTAAGGATACACAAGCTCGACAGGCACTGGCGATAGCGGGCACGGCAAAAACACAAAACATAACCGAGTCCTCACCTGAGTGTCACTATGACTGCTGATGGCTGGGCACATGCTGTTATAAGGGTTACAATGAAGAGGAAGATGAGGAATGGGATGAGCGTGTTGCAGGTTCGATCACACTTCCCGGACACAGCGTAGCCGTTCTCGTTCAGGTAGGTTTTGACAATCACGAGCCGCAGCTGACTGCGCTGGCCCACTGTGGGCGGAGTGATCACCTGCCGACTCTGCACACAGGCACATTCTGTGTAATTTCTGACCTGCAGAGCAAAAAAGAACATCTCCATGTGAAAAATATAGGTTAGAGTGACATTGCAAAGAGGCATTGTACCACAGTCCTGTGGTACTTCTAACCTGAGAATCTTCTGCCTCAAGCAGAATCATTACCCCAAGCAAAAGTAAAAAGTAATTTAAAAGCTGGACAGAACTCTCTATGATGACGCTGCCTTTCCATTGCTTTATTTAGTCTGAGTTTATAAAAAATCTGGAATATGTTTGGGAAATATTGACAAAACAATTCAATCATTTCTGACAGGGCGGCTGGAGAAAAATATTGTTTCTATTGTACCACGAAAAATGTGAGGAAATGTTCTTCAGGCAGCAGTGACAATGCCATATTCTGAAATTCAGCAAGCTGCTTGCTGACTTTCATATTCAGGCAGTGTCTTCTGCCATGTTAATGGAAGGCTACCCAAATCTGGCCAAAGAACAATAAGCTGCACTCCATGCTTGAAGCTCAGGATCCTCCACCTGGATGTGGGTGCAGATCTGGACAGAAGCAAAAACAGAGAATAAAGGGAAAGCAGAGACTAAAACAGTGAGACTGGAGGACTGACAGAGATTCCTGAACGGCTAAAGAGAATGAAATTAAGAAAAAGAGACTGAATAAAGAAGTAGCATTTCACAGGCAAACAGGACCGTAATTTGAACAAGGGGAGGAAGAGCTAGATCAGAAATAGCGTTCTTTCACATTATGCTACCTCTGTTTTCATCTAATGAATGGCAAAGGGGTGTGCAGCAGATCAGAACATTCCAGTGCTACAGAATAAACTGGCCAGGACATATGTGATGTTATAGGAAAGAGCTTTCTGTTTCAATTTTTTCATTCATCAAACCTCGGACCACACAGGCACAGAAGTTACAAAATCATCTTCAGATAGTTAATTTAAGCACTTAGACATCACGACATATCCAAATCATGGCTGTTTGTCAATTTTAATGTATACCTTTATATGCATCCATGACATCATGAGACCTCGCACTTTTTTCCCCCTAGGATTTAGCTGAACATCTTAATAATGTATGTATTTATCCAGGATTTTACCTCCCATTTTCAAAATGTGACTTCAGGTATTTTTTCCTCAGACTAAGAATATTCCACTACAAAGACAGAACGACTCATACTTTATATGAACATTCTATATGAATGCCATATGAAACATTCATATGAAAATGCATATGAATTTTTATCACACTCACTATTATAACTTAATTCTTTCAAAAATGAGTCATCTTCAAAATAGTTAAGAGGTATTGATGTCATCTCCATTTTCTAGTTAACTAATTGAAAAGGACTGAAGATTTCAGAAACATGGGTGATTAATTTGAGACAACTGGAATCCTTTTTTTCCAGAACTATACCCTACTAAATATATTCTAAATGTAACTTTTCATGCCTTAAAATACAGATTTAGGCACTTCTGATTGTTGCTCATGTTCATCATCCAGAATATGAAGAATACAAGATTAAAGACCAATGGGGAGAAGTTCTGTTTAAGTTACTTGCCCAACATCACTTAGAAACAGATTCTGGTTTCCCAAGGCAGCACTCCACTCCAAGATCACTTGAGTATCTGACTTCTTTCTACAGTACCTCACCCTAAACTCCTTATTGCTTCCAAATGCAAATGCCAAATAGAGATCCTACAGAAATTAGACCTCTTTACTACACAATCTTGGTTCATCACCAGCAAAACTAAGTCTGTGTATTAAATAAGACAGACATAGCATGAGAGAAATATTAAGAGTATAGGAAAAAATAAATAGATATCTATAAGAAACAGGTATGAACTGTACACTGGTATCCTTTCCTCTTAGTTCGAACTTTTAAAGGGTTAATTTTGAAACACTCTATGTTATAAACTTAAATCCAAAATATTATATGTCAGCAACATTTTGTGTGTTATACAGTGGCACTAACTTACACTTGTTTTTAAATGTACCATACAAAATGGATTATTTAATCCAAAAAAATTCCTTTTCCAAGCAATGTCAGTCGTATTCTATTCACCATTAGCTACTGAGTTAAAACTTCAGGCCATGAAGCATCTTTTCTTAAATCATAAGATGCAATAGCATGTTTCAAAATCTGTAATGAAGAGCACATACTCCCAGAGTATTTCCCTACTAAATAAATTAATAGTGCCAGTTCGATATCAGGTGAAATGCAAGAAAGACCAAGCCTGTCTCAATCTAGAAAAGCACAAATTAGATTACATAGACACTAAAATTTAACCAGAGGGTCACAATGCAGACTTTTCCAATTGGTCAAAACAATTTTCTACAAAAACCAGCAAGATAATCTAAAAAGGAAAAAAAAAAAAACAATTAAGAGAAACAAGTATCTTCTCAGTGGCATCTATGTATGAACATGTTTTTTCAGACCATTATCCAGGTGACCTGAGAAAACAAAGTGCTGGACCTAACATCCTCCTGCTCCACAGGCTGGCTCACAACTGCAAATCAGGAAACTGATTACTTTTTAAGTAAGCTTTCAGGAAAGCTTAGTCAAGCCCTAAGGAAATCAATGTTTACATTACTTCTTGTCTTTTTCAATTATCCTTTTTTAAAGGACAGAAGAACAGAAGAATTTAAGAGTTCATATTTTAAGGAAACTAATATGACCATAATGCTCTTTTGATACTTAAGTCAGATTCTACTTTTCAACTGTCTTCTTGTGCCCAGTCCTGGAAACTACCAAACTTCCATGGTTTGATTTTACCAGCAGGATTTCATTCTCCAATTTGGCATAACTACAACTCTGGGTTGTAACAAGCAATGTATTTCCAAGAAAGAAAATGGATTATTAACATATTTTAAGTTGTGATTACTTGAGTTTGATGACAACCTTCATTTAGCCTGGAAGAGGTTTAGAAAAAGGCCATAGGACTGGTTGAACTGTTTTACAAGAGCAGAATACATGGGCAGTCTTTACCTAGCCAGGCAAACCACAGACCTATGAGTGCACCAGTGCAGGTGCAAGACATACTTGGGCAAAATGACAAGGCTGACACAAACACCAATGACTTGAAAGAAATTCTACCTAAATTTGAGTTTAAAACACGTCCAACTACCTGAAGAGTTGTTTTTCCTTCAATTCAGAGAGGAAGTCACAGAAAAATCCAAACTGCTCTAAAAGGTAAGACTGAGCTTGAAGAAAGTCAGTTTGAAATGGCTGCCTACATTGGCAGAAAGCTGAGTTAGATGACACTGACTCAAGGTACCCTCTCCAAGCCCTGCAGGAATAGCAGGCATGCAGGTCACTGCCACCAGGGTCTTTGGGGTCTGTAAGGGAAACACCAGCCCTCCCTATCCCATGGCATTTGCATTCACTCAGCTAGAGGATTCACTAAGTACAAATGAACTTGTACCTCAAATTGGTACATAACTAAAGGAAGTGGGCTGGGACCATGCAATAACAGCATTGCCAGTCTTTCAAATCATGGAAAGGCTCAGAGATGCATGAGTCACCTGCAGAGAACTTCTCTGAAGCTCACAGGAGGGATGCTTGAGCTACAACTGAGAAGTCTTTGATCTGCACTGGTCCCAAGGGGCTACTCAGGGGCTGTGTGTGGATGGTGGGTGAAGCACTTACCCCTGTGCTGTGGTTTCCACCACTGATGCAGCCAGCTAGGCAAGGATTAAAATATGTTATTCCATCTGATCCACAGACAGGCTCGTACTCATGAATCTTACATCCACAGTTAACATTACAGCTTCCAGTCAGATTCCTGTGGGCCATGGCAAGAGTGGGACTGAAGAAAGGAAAAAGAACATGCTAGTAGAGCATACACAGATAGCCATATTCTCCTGTACAGAAGGAGCAAACATCCTACTCATTAACTCTGGAACTGAGAAGTTGATTATTAGACAAAGACTGTGTCAACTCTAGGTTATGTATATGACGTAAACAATAAAGATGAACACCCAAGTCATCATCCTTGAAATCAACTAAAAACACTATAAAAGAAATAATACCAAAGTTTAAAATTTATATCATATTTGGCTAGGTAATAGGTGTATTTTTGGTGTATTTTTCCCCTGTTTTGTCTTTCCTCTATGAAGTAGGACACCACTGTTTTACATGCCTATTCTAAGCTGCAGTTATTTCTTGTTGATTACTAATGAAAGACTCAATGACAAGATGTAAGGATTCTGTGAACCAATGTGAACTAATAGGCATCTTTTCCCACATACCAACAGCTGTTCAGAAAACAATGCTTTATTTTAACAATTACTTATACAAATATGCGAAATCTAAAACTCTCTAGATCTGGAAGACTGCTGTGCTTTTGCTAAATGTCTGTAAATGAATTACCACTCTGCTTCCCCAGACCATTCCCCAAAATGTGGCCAAAGCACAGATCCCTTATGGATTTGGACATATTTCAAATGCTTCTTTCCCATCCTTGAGTCAAGGCAGCTTAAAACACCTGCACCTACATGGCTCCCTAAAACTACACAAATCTATACCTGGTCTTTGAGAGCTCTGACCAAAATGCAAACAGTAGCTTACTTCAGTAGTCCTTGAGAATTGTCTCATGATTATACTGAGAATGATTAATGTCTGAGAATTATACTGGAATGCACAGCCACTCCACACCGAGCACTACATTGCAATGCTGAATTAAGTGTTCTGTCTTGTTTGCCCTGCTCAATGGCCACCGCTGTTTAAAACTACCTCAAGTATCTCTGTTCTGAGCAGACCAGTAGATATCCAGGGAATGCCAGCACCTACTCAGCCAGGCAGGAGCTGAATGGAATCTGGATTGGTTTTGTGGCTGCATCCTCAAGATCCTGTACACATGCTCACAGACTGCCATGGCTACAGAGCCTCACAAGCGCTGCTGTTGGCTTGTCTTCATGTCTGTAATGTGTGAGCAAGGCCAGTGTGAAGATAAACAACTAGCAGCAGACTTACTGCATCCCAGCTACCCCAGGGACCTTCTTCTGTTCCCATCTTCTACCCCTGACTAAACCAAAGGCTTGGCACAGGAGCCATTCTGCACACAGCAACTGTCACCCATGCTGTGTGTCACCTCCTGTCCTTAGTGATGCTCAGTAGCACAACTGCTGCAGAGAGCATTCCACTTGACTGGTTTTCTTGTATTTATTACACCACTATTTGCTTTTGCTGAATATGCTTGTCTTCCCAGCTGCACGCTTTTGCAAACAATTAAATATTACTAAGTAGCTTTCAAATATTTATTGACCGTCTACTGATCACACAAATCAAGTTCACAAATTTAGTTCTTGGAACTACTTTATACTTTATGGTTTAGTTGGATGCTAACCAAAGCCTTTTTGAGTGTTTTGTTTCTTGCTCCATAAACAAACAAGGTACACTTTTAGAAACAAGTTGCAGCTTGAGCAGGAAGTTAAATATCCAGGACTGGTAGTGGTTCTGTCACCTTCTCAGCTATCAGCTGAAATCTGTCATATTACACCCTGCTGGATTTCAATAAGCAGCAACACATCATATAGCAACGGGCAGATTTTTCCAGTAATCTCTCAACAGAACTTTTTCACAAAGTGAAAAAAAACAAATCACCAAAACATTCATCAGGAAAATACAAATTTCAGCAGTACAGTTACAAAAGCTTTTCACCAACAGAAGAGACAACATCTTTAGAGTTTTACGAAATCCTGGTCAGCCTGCTGAGCTGGATGTCCCAGATGCCTGAATACTTGGCATAAGGAGAGATTCCACAGCCTGCCTGGGAGACCCTTGTACCATGTTCCTATTGACAACAGGGCTTTGCCACACTGCACAGGTCCAGGGACAACCCAGACTGTCGGGAAAGGCACAGCTCGGGTTCCACTCTCCAATCTCTCTCACCCTGCAGAGAGATTCTTCTGATCTCTTATCCCTCCACCACCTAAAATCCTTCTCAGGAACAGATGGGTAGGCTTGTTCCACAGGCAGGAGGACCCATTCCCTGTCTTGCTCTACTTATGTGGCTAACTAACTTCAGCTGCACTGCTGAACACTACCATGACAGAGAGGTTAGGCAATCAGCTTAAAAAAAAAAAAACGGTGAATTAAATCAGGCATGCAAGAAATGAGAAGCATGAAAATGGAAACTGAACTGAGACCACTGTGATAATTTAATCTCAGGGGCATTTTTTTGTTTGTCCTGGAAGACAACTAAAGTTTACAGATACACAAAACAAATATTCTCAAATTAATAACAGTTTACTGCAAGCTTTGTCTCTCCAGCTTTCACACCTTTTGTCCTCATCATATCACTGCTTATTTGGGGAATTTATTTTGCTGATTAGAGCAAATACTTTGCACACAGCGAGGTTTGGTTTTTTTCACCCTTTCAAGAACACGTAATACACAAAATCATCTACTAACTCATTTCCAAAAGTTCATTATTAGACAGTTTTAAGAGGCTCATGCTTTCATCTCCATTACCTTCACTCTTCACCCATTGTCCACTCCTCTTTCAGTAGTGGGAAACAGGGATGAAGGAGTTTCAGATGCTGGGGACATAAAATTTCTACTAACACATGTCTGTGCAACACCATTTTGATCATATGAGATTAACCATGAAGCATATACTACAAGAGATTTCTTGAACACTTCTTTCAGGAAGGAATAATGTTTTCTTGAAGGTATGCATTTTTCTGGAAGTAAGCTGAACCAAAGGACTCTACTAATCCTGTCTTCTGGTACTGGAAGGCTCCATAGTCTCCACAAAGGAAAACAAAGCATTTATCCCTGAATTACAGCACAGCACATCACAGATTTACCTGCATCAGCCATTAAGAGCAGGTTCTTAGGGAAATTGCACCAAAGCTAGTATGTCCTGCTCATGAGCTGATCTGTGGGAAAAGCAGCCTAGTTTCAATGCAGCAGCTGCTGTAGAAACATGAGATGTCTGAGAAAGAGCTCCTCTGCTTGTTTCAGCAAGTGAGATACTGCCAGCTTACAACACTGCTGCACCTGAGCTGCCAAGGACACCAGTCATGCATAAGCACACGAACAGAAACCAGCCCCAAATGACAGCACTTCCTGAACTATTCTTTCAATTACAAACAATGATGCTGCTCCTTCTATTAATAAGATTTACCTGCAAGTTCACTAAATATGTGCTGGGTCAAAACTCAGAACCCCATCTGACAAACTGCATTTGTTCACTTCTCAGAGAGACTGTCCTGTGTCTCCATGACACAATGCTAGTAAAGCTGATAAAGAGAAGACCTTTATTAGATGTGACTAACAATATAAAGGACTCTAGTTTCTAACAGTTTTTTCTAAATCGTGTTTTTCTTTCCAACTATTACTCCAGGGAAGGTTTGAGGTATAGGAGCAAAGTGAGAAAAGAGAATATAAAATGAGATTTATTGCCCAGAGTTTTTTGAGCTGTGACCTGTTATTTCACATACTTAGGCTCGGACTGAAACATCACTGTACTGGCAGTCAATGAACATTTTAAAAGTGGATCCTCTTCCCACAAGGTTACAATTTAAATGAAATGCAATTTTTAAAAAAGGATGTCAAACTATATTTTGGTAACATCTAAATAAATAATTGATTTTGCACATAGTTTTATTGATATCACTGTAGTAACCTACAGGACCGACGAAATACAAAGGGAAAGAGATAATCTAACCACATAGTTTCTATAATCTTAATATTGGGCTATATGATAAAAAAGATTATCTCAATTTGACAGCAGTATATTTGGTTTGGTATCGAAGACATTCTGGATGGCAGAGATCTGCAGTCTCTCTGTTGGCAAGCAGCTCGTATTGCAGCAATGATGCAATTTTTGTGTAGCTGTCAAACAAGGGACCCTCTCACTTGTGTTAGCTGGATTCCTTCTTTGTTGTTATTGTTCTGATCCAATTAGTCACTGCTTTCAAGTTAAGGGAAACCACTGGCTGATTGGACTGAAATGGATACAAGAATAACAGAAACTCAAACCAGTGATACAAGAGGAAGAATATAACAAATTTTTTTACGTGAAATACCTCAGTAAGCCAACTGCACACTTTAACTAAACATTAATTGCACCAAAACAACACAAAGCAATCAAAAAGAGTATGTACTGATTCATTATATCAGAAATGTAAGAGGTGGAACTGAACTAATCCAGGAATCTGTCACTATGAGTAAGCTCACCATGAGGACTGTTTAGCTGCCTTATACAACAATACATGCAGGAGACAGGTCTGAAAAAAACAAAGCAGCTGATCTCTGCTATTTCCCTTCCATTCAGTACTGGTGAAGCCATACTTGCAGTGCTGGGTTCAGTTCTGGCCCCCTCAGTAAAAGAGAGACATGGATATACCAGAGAGAGACGAGTGAAAGTCCACTAAGATGATGAAAGGACTGGAGCACCTCTCTTCTGAGGAAAAGCTGAGAGAGCTGAGACTGTTCAGCCTGGAAAAGGCTCAGGGGGATTTCATCAATGTCTATAAATATGTGAAGGGATGATGCAGAGAAGACAGAGCCAGGCTCTTTTCAGTGGTGCCCAGTGCCAGGAAGAGAGGCAATAGGCACAAACTGAAGCACAGGAGGTTCCCTACAACCACCAGGAAACAGTCTTCACTGCGAAGGTGACTGGGTGGTGACACAGGTTGCCCAGGGAGGCTGTGGAGCCTCCCTCTTCAGAAATATTTAAAAGCCATCTGGACTCTTATCCAGACCATTCACTCATTCAGGACTTCCCACCTGGATGCTGTTATGGTGGAAGGGAAGGGATGCCACATTGTGGTTTGATGTAAGGCTTCTTAAGCTACAATTCAAATATCAAACATGCCCTCAGAACAAGGCTGGGGAATGGAACAATAGGTTCTAAAATGCTGAGATATGTAACACAGAGGTGCCCTTGATCTTGCTGAGAAGAGAAATGCTGATGGCACGCCAACAACAGCAAAACTGCTCGTGCCCATAAAACAGCAGAAAATCCTTTCTAATATATTCTAATCTGTGTATGCCTCCAGGTCCTATCCACTTCCTTGCAGCTGGTACAGTTAGAAAAATACTGAGTTATGAAACACACTGAATTATGAAATGTTACTGCCTACTTTTCTGAGTACTGATATGAACATAAGTCTATGCTAACTGAAGCCTAGATCATCCCTCTCCTTTGTAGTGGTTTATGGCTCAGTTCACCAAAGAAAAATACTGTATGTTTAAATGTATAAAAAAACAAACAATAGAAATGAACCTATTTGTCCGGAAATCATCCTGCAGAGTGTGTCTACACTGCCCAATGCATCTGAAATCTCTGAGTTGCTGCCAGTGCAGGTAGGTCAGATATCAGACCTGGCATTGCCATGTTAGGGTAGAGTTTTATCCCAAACCAGGCAGCTCTACTGCTTTCACTATCCATCTTGCCCCTTGAACTGGCTTTGACATCCCTATGCTGCACTACAGTCAAAGTAGAGAATGAAGTATGTGTTTTATTAAACTCAAAAGGAAAGCATGCTTTTTTTATTCCATGGCCAACAACACTCTTTGATGGCTGAGTTAAAGAACTGCCTACTAAGCAAGTGATTTGAAGCTATCAAATGACTGATCATGAGAATTAAGAGAATGCTTATCATGTCAGATATTCAAGATTAATTCATGTGTAGTGCTGCCTCTTTACTATGTATCCATACTCTTTACTGGACTTGATCTCTGCGTTAAAAAATCTAGCTGAACCATGCTTTGTAACATGCTGGTAATGCTCAATTTCTGATGGCATTACAGTCAATATAATTTTTATACTGATTTCAAAGGGTTTATATACATCAACAGTTATGATAATTTCGCCATTACTATTTCTCATCTCTTTTCCCAGTAAGAACGATTAGATGAAGGTGGTAAGGAAGTAATGCTACTGCAGACTTGCACAACATTGTGCATTGTGAATTGATGCCTATTCCAACTGATGCTACGTATTCACTGCAAATGTTCTTACTTACTAAAAAAAAATTACATACTCTTACAATTCCAGCATGAAGGCTATGAGTTATATGACAGTAGTACACCTTGTTTGCAGTTTAGAAATAGATTTAAATCAAATGGCACTTCTTCTCTGAACAGAAAGGTACAGGCTTCTCATTAGTCAGGCAGTGACATTGTGACTTGCCACACAGATCGACTAATTCCGATTTGAAATTTATGTTTTCGTTCCTATTAATTTTCATTTCTTCATCTACACCCACAGGCTGTCACAAACATTAAAAGCAGGTGGACAATCAAAGCATTCCACCCCCTTTCCATCCCTCTTTTCTCCTTCTTCAGCCCACTAAGCTCAGACGAGGGTGTATCACCATGCTACTTCCTTCTACTGACAGCCCCTATGGAGCAAGCTTTAGGTCTTAAAAATACAAAGAAGTAACAGCTTTTCATCAGCTCTTGGCTTTCAGCTGCTGGTTTTCTTTGCTCTAGCATTAAGGTTTGACAGCAGTGTAGTAACACCCAGCAACAAGAAATGCAAAACATTCTCTGTGTAAACAGTGCCTATTTTCTTCCTCCCCTGCTTCCCATTTTTCCTCTTTGTTTTTCACTTGCTATCCCTCTGCCTCATTGTACTTTCTCTCAATTTCATCCTCTCTTTTCCTTCTCCACACTCTACATTCTCTCAAAAATATTAGGAGTTGTGAGCTGAGCCCTAAAAGCAAATATACAAATGGATCTGATACCAAACACCTGGTCATAATTAAAAGGTAGACATGGCTCAGATGTAAAAGCAAAGGGAAAAAACATTGCCTCAGATAGGTTCACACTCTCCAAACACTTACTCTATTCCTGTATTCTATTAACCTAGATGAAGAAGACAACTTTGAGGAAAATCTCATGTGCAAAGTAAGAAAGAAAATAAAAACTCATGATCAGGCTTCTACGGAATCCCTTTCCAGTGAAAATGTCTCAAGTTTTACCACACTGCCTTCCCTCCAAATAACCCTTTTCTTTTTTTATGCCCTTCCATGCATTTCTTAATGCCACAGCCTAAATTCCTCACTCCCAAGTCCTTCCTATAGCCACACCTTCTTCCTCAATGCAGTCTGCTTTAGTCTCTATATAACTTCAGGGAATATGGTCTAGCTGCTGTCTTGATGATGATCCAGCAAGCACTGGAGAGCATTCACACAACTAATAAGGGGTTCAGAAGCAGTGCACACCACTGATGTTGACAGCACATGCCCAAATGATTCCTCTCAAATAGAGACTGTAGACCTAAAATACTATTAAGGTGATAATTAATAAACCCATTCAGAAATAATCTTCATACTTCACTTAGTTTTTTTCATTATTTTTATGAGCAGAAAACATTTTGAAACATTAAGTAAATTTTAAGTAATCTACAGAGGACACTATTCTTATTTTTCTGCATCACTGAAGGTTGTTCTAACATGTTTTCTCACCTCTCAAAAAGGTGAGTTACTACATAAACTGCAATATAAACCAGACGTAAAAAACAAGGGCCACACTCTAACAGCATGTGTTTATATTACAGTACTCACTAAATTCTCATTTGAACATGTGGCTTCCTCAGTAGATCAGCTATCAGCAGTTTTTACATTTCTAGATCAGGCTTATTGGAAAAAGGTGGTTTTGCCAGAGATAATAACTTACCCAGTTGTATAAGGTATATTTATTCCCCCTAGGTTAATGCTTTCACATCCAACAATGAAGAGTGTTGAAAAGCACAGCAGAGATACCCCACTGCAGATCATAGCCAACTTTGCAGACTCTCTTGCACCGAGTTTCAGCTTTTTTATAATGTAGCCGCCTAGGACAATACCAACACCAGCACTTGGGACAATAATCACACCTGCCAGGAACAAGTTTGAACAGCATTAAAACAGGACCTACAGAAATGGCATAAAACATAAATATTGGTTTCATTCTGTAATTAGATGACTGCAAATGCTGCACTAAGATCTCCATTGTCTGATTCTCTGCTAGCAAACTGAGTCAGACTTTTCAAACCTCTGGAGTGTTGTCAAAGAATTTATAAAAGCCTCCTTATCATATTAGCAGCAGCCAAAGCACTATAAGAGAACAATTGTACTTAGAAGCAGAAACATTGTTTTGTTTTTATTTTAGAATGGGAAGAAGGGCTACATATAGGTCCAGTTTTACCACTGAAAGTTTGAAGAAATCCAGATTTGGACACAAATCTTCCTCCTCCCATTCTCATGAGTAATTCCAGTGAAGCACAAAGACTTCAAGCAGGACCCCAGAACCCTGCCCATCTGGGAGTGCACACCCAAGCCTGGCTACAAATTCTGCCTTCCGTATACTTTACTAAGCTAAATAGCACTTTCCTAGGCAACTTAGCATTAGGACAAGAGGAAATGGCCTCAAGCTGGGCCAGGGGAAGTTCAGGTTGGACATCAGAAAGAACTTCTTCATTGAAAGGGTGGTTAACCATTGGAATAGGCTGCCCAGGGAGGTGGTGGAGTCACTGTCCCTGGAGGTGCTCAAGAAACGACCAGAAGTGGCACTTGTGCTATGGTTTATTGACATGCTGGTGTTTGTCAAAGGTTGGACTTGATGATCTTGGAGGTCTTTTCCAATCTTGAGTCCATGATTCCACAATTCCCACCTCAGCATCCCAATTCATCTCTCCACAGATATGTGGAGTGTAAACTGATCAAACAGAGTTTCAAAAATTAAGATAATAGAATTAGGGCAAGTTTAAGACACAAAGATATGCCTATGAAACCTCTGCTGCTCTGCTGCTGCAGTTACAAGGTTCAACAACACATCACCAGGTTGTCCCCACTTGTCAGGTCCTGAGGTGGTGGTAAAGTCAGCAAATATCTTACACTTTTCTTCCCCTGTCTTTTGGTTCTCACTGACACGTGAGACACCCTTTAATGAAAGGCTTTGCCAATAAAGATGCATTCCAGATAAACATGGAATTTGAACTACTTTTAGCAGCTGCATCTACAAAGAAGCTAAACTTTATAATCCAAATTGTTAGAGATATTGGTCACTTAAAGAAGCCAGTAAATCACTTGAAAACACCTTTATGACTATTGCAAAGCATGCTTATTCTCTGCTAACGTGTCTGAAGGTGAAAGGGACATTATATTTATCAAAACGTTGAGACTGTGAAAGCAAAAATAGAGGGAAAAACAGCTGGCACCTTAGTTATCCTGCCATCACCAATGACATTGTAAAATAAAATGTAATTTCATGAAGAAGATTCTAAAAAAAGTGTTCACAGAATCAAAATCAGTCTTTCTTCCAAGAGAAGAAATTAAATGTAGAAGCTGCAAAAATTCAAGACATGGTACATAGTGGTTTTTTTGATGATGATAAATGCCAGGGTTGTTTTAAAACTGAAATAAATTGAGACTTAATTAAAGAATTGCTGCTTAGAAGACAAAAAATTGCCAGTAAAATCTTTACATTAAGAGATTCAGGAAGCACATGTACTCAGCTGACAATGTGTGTATTAAACATAGATGTATAACGTAAATAACATGTAAATTCTCCTTTTACTAACCAGAAAATTTGTGAACTTGTCATGTCTTTTACTTTATTAGCCAGTAGCAATTTCCACACAATTTCCAAGTTTCCCTTCCCCATCTTTCCTACAAAAAATTATCTATAAAATTAACAACTGTTGACTTCAATGCTAAATTTAAGAGTTGGGATTGTAGAAGCAGTGCTCACTTGTCCTTGTTGCACATCCAGCCTGATATATTTCATCTTCTTCTTTTGATTCATTATAATAGTCTTTTATCAAGTAATTTACAACAGGGGAAACAACAGATGTTAATGTCACTTTGGGCAAGGTCACACTAGTTTTACCTCTTTTAATGTATTGGTTGTTGAGTACTTTTTCTGGTAAGAATGTTTCTGGTTTATCTTGAGAATAAAGGAAGTTAGGGTGTAGCAAACCCATCAAGACTCATTACAGTAAAACTCCCGTGTGTGTAGCTGCCCTAAGCTTCAGAGAGCATCAGGGTCCCATGAGTCAATGTTTCCTCCTTATATGCAGAACACAGGGATTTCATGCCCTGAAGAAAATCTCATCTCAAAAATTCTCAAATAGAAACCACCACATGGTGCTTCTCTGACTTTTCCCCTCCCCAATCTAGAAATTTGCATTTCTTCCAGCCACTGATAGTGACAAATTCTTCACATGTGAGTTCTATGTGCCTTCCTTCTTCCTTCTGCTACTTTTTATCTTTTTTTGACAGATGACCCCAGGCAGCTTCACCCCATACTTCACCTGTGTCCCCACAATTTACTCCACTCCATCACTCCTAGGGCCCAGTGTCTGGAAATTTGAGGGAACAAACAACTAACCTGCCTAGCAATTAGCAGTTATTATGTATGAGAAACACTATGGAGAATTTTAAAAGATTATTATAAAGACAAATGTCTTCGATGCAGCTAGAAGATAAAGAAACTCATCAGTGAGACACAGACCCTGATTCTGCACAATATTTTGGCCTCTTTTAGTAGCCAAGTTCTCATCTGTCTCAGTCACAGAGCAGTGTGAAGCTTAAAATTTTGTGATCTGTTTAACTCCGTTAAAAGTTGGACATGGCTGTACATTGGTATAGCAGGGGAGGTGCCACACATGCAAGATGGGGGTAGGAGAGAATTTGAGAAGTTCTGACTAGACTAGATGGTTGTCTCAATGTAAATAAGGAAAAAAACACCACTCTGGAGGAGAGAGATAACTGAAGGATAGGACAGATAAACAACTATTCACTGAGGGAAAAAAAGATAAAGATATTTTAAAAATCAAACAGGAAGTTAAATTCAGAGAAAATAAGAACAGTTTTAAGAGATCTTTTGAAGCACACAAATTGCAGTCATGTCTTTGGTTTTTCTAGCTTGTTTTTGTTTTTTTTCTCCCTTGCAAAATCATCAACAAGTAAGAAAAGCATCTGCCTAGGCTCTGCAAAAAAAAAAAAAAATCCAGCCCTTTAACAATATAGACAGGTTCACATTTTACTAAATACATATAACAAACATCAAAAAACAGACTGAATATCTAACCAAATGCAGAAAGCTGGAGCCAATTTTTGGTTCATTCCTAATTGACTCATTTCATTAGCCAAAGCCAACCTTGCAAGGTAACACTATGTGGCAATGCCTTACCAGTGTAGATGCTGGCATTGGAAGCTGGGATGCCAAACTGTGACTCGATGAACTTGGGAATGAAGGTAATAAAAGCTGTGACAATGGCACTCTCAGCTGTGTATGACAAACTCACAAAAAGGAATGTCATGTTGCTTAAGATCCTGACAGCTGCTCTTGGAAGCTCTATAAAATGACAAAAATGACAAACGAATGTTATAAACAATGAGTGAGAAACAAAAGCAAACTGAAACAGAACCAATTGATTTTCTTTGAGACAGACTGGCAATAATGGCTTGCTAGCAGCTGGTACATTTGGGAGAGTGCATGCTTGGGATTGCAGCCCTTGCTCCCTGCTCTGACCCCATCTCACTGCCTCAGTCAGGGCCATGGTCCCACTTGGCACAAACACAACTGAGGTGTGTATTAAAAAAAGTCTCAAAGAACAGATAGTAACACCATAACAGAAAGAAAAACAGCAATAAAATGTAGGGATTTTGGAATTATTCTGGTATCTTATTTTGAGATTTTCTGTGAGACAACACATATCACACTGCTGAACCGACAGTACTGAGTTTTGCACTACATAGGAGGCAAATATATCCTATATTCCCTCTGTTACTCTCTGCCTCAAGGGCCAGGCTTGGAGAGCTGGGAAAATATTAATCTAATTTTTAGTTAAAAAAATTATAAATATTTTTAGTTAAACATTTTTCTACATGAATTAAAAGCACTTACAATGATGCAGACAAAACATAATGAAAAGATTACATCAATGATATCAAGGAATCTCAACATACATTACATACAACTCAATTAATATTCTCAGAAGGGATAAAGCAATCAATTAAAAGTGAGAGTATGTTATTAACTTAAATTGAAAAAGTATTCATAGATGCTACAATTATTCTCAAGTCAAATATCAAACTCCCATTAAATTCAGCACTGTAGTTAAATTAAACACTTACATATTTTTAATTAAGTCCTGCAGAGATGTCAAATTATCGTCACCCTATTCAGCTTAATTTTTTTCGGACTAGATGCTGAGATTTAAACAAGTCTTCTTTTCCTTGGGGCTTTTTTTACCCAAGATCAATTTTTTTTAAGTGTTATATCTAACCTACTATAGTTCAGATTTTTTCATTTGCTTTTCACTTGGTACAGAAGTGGAAGAGTGCTTGAATCAAAGCCAGTTGAATTCAATGACAAGAGCACCCATTTGAAATATATGTTGAGCAAGAGCAACTGAGTGAGAATTTTATTGATGTTAATAGTTGTCAAGACAAAAATCTGTCTCACTTTCTCCACTGACTCCAGTAGGTTATCTGTATAAAAGCAAACAGAATTTCACTTGTCATGTCAAAACTTGTCAAGCTGCAAATTAGCACTTAAATTGTCTGACTGCATCCAGTCTTAGCTTATGCCAGTTGTCAAAATTTATACTGAATTCATTATGAGTACTGGGTTTATAATTTTAATGTAGTCAAATGCTCCCCTGCTACATCTATGAAAAAACATATTAAATGTTAAATACAAAATCTGGTGGAAATAACTAATGAATAAATCATATTAAGAAGCACTTGTATATTTGAATCTTAATGTTTTTTACCACCTACAGATTTAAACAAAAAAAAAAAAAGTGGTGCAGTTTGCAATAGAAGCAACAGGAGCAAGAAGTTATGACCATGCTGATGCTGCTGTGAGAAAGGAGTCAGGAAGCAGAAAGGATTGGTCCTGCTGGAAACTGAGCTACTTAGTGGCAGCTGCTCACGTGGATTGAAAATGTGGAAGAAAATAAGGTATCATCACAGAGAGAAAGACAATTTTATTAGCATGATGAACTGAGTGTTCTTTGTAGAAATGAATTGGTAGTTCTTGGCCAAGAGCTGAACTCAAGGTCTTTGCTAAATCGATTCTTTTAAAGAGTCTGGTCCAGATATCATAATACCTGGTAAAGTTTGCCCTTCCTGGTAAAACTGAGCTTCAGGAAAATGTCTGCTTTAGAATTTTCAGTCAACTAAAGAAATAACTTAACAAAGAATTGCAGAGCTAATGAACACTTTGCTCTGGTATTTTTATGTAGAGCTGTGCTTCTGTTGTCTCCTACTTAGATCTCATCTGAGCACTCAGGCTAAAGGTCATTATTAATTTCAAAACTAATTAGTATTTTGAAATGGGATTTCTACTGTTAAGTAGATAAAACTTAGTATCTTGGTATAAGCACAAGTTCCCTTACACCCATGTGAAGGGCTCTTCAGAGAACAGCTTTGCTGATTACTGTAAATTTTGGCATGAAATAGTTTTATTTCCTCATGCCACACTAATACACGCCACCTGGAGCACTTAAGAGATGATCTTCGTGGTTTATAAACAGCAATTGCCTGGCATACAAGGGAAAGTTGCTATATAGTAAAAACCTTGGAAATACAAACACACATTCAGAGTTAGACTTTCCCTGATTTCCTCCCATGATACAATCAAATTCTGTGTGACTACACTAAACTTTTGAATTTAAAAACCTATAATAAAAAGGCACTATTAAGTAACTCATTATCTTTCAACCACGTAACTGTAGTAAAAAGCAAGAATGCTAAAAATTTTAAGGGTACTTTACACCACATAATCAATCATGCTTTTAAAACATTTCTATGTCATATTATTCTTGCATGGCTAGCCATAAGCCTAGGTTTTGATTTCAAGGCCATTATTAAACCTATCAGGTTTGATCTTTAGGAAAGACACCTTCAAAAGACATTGCATGTTTTTGCAAATGTGCATCAAAAACAAACGTACAAAACTTGCAAATTCCCTCATTCTGTCATCTGAACTAATAAACCCCTAATTACATTCCTAAAACTAAAACAATCTTTAAGCAGGTCTAGCATGGCTGCAAGCATGTTTATAATTCTGTGCAGTAACTCAAATCTTAACATCTCCTTTTTTTTTTTTCCACTCCCCAATAACCTAGTATATAACTAAGAGTGAATTGAAACCTGCCTTGCTGGACTGGTTTGCTAGTCTACTGGCAATTTTCTTTCATGATCTTTGTCAGTATTTTTTTCTTGTCAGTATTTATTTTTCTTTCACCCATGTGCTGGACCACTGCTTGATTCATGGTAAGGGAAAAGCATAAGAAAAATCTGCAAGTAATACAAGTATTCATAAATATTCCTCTAAGGAAAGCACTGTAAACAGAATTTCAATAAAAACTCAAATAATTCTGACTTCACCTCCTTTTTCAACATTTAATATCACTTCTTTTATCCCTGTTCCTGCACATCCAGCCCAAGGCAATGCAATGAATACAATTAGGTGAATAAACCATCCCAGTCTACAGCATTGTCCTTCTGCAGTCCATGAGAAAAGTCTCATGGTGGGTGGGGCAGGTATTAGCCAGAGGAGCTCCCTTCTGCTAGTGCTCCCGGTCTCAACAGCACCACCCAAGCCTGCAGCTTTGGAGAAGGAGAAGCTTCACACGAAGGTCGCAGGGGCATCTTCCACAAAGCAGAGCCAAGATTTGAGACAAAATTTCTGGTTTGTTTATCAGAATGGAAACTAGCAAAGTGACACACAACTATGTCAAATATATCCTGCATGGAGCTAATCAGTAATCTCTAGAATAGTATTTTGTCATTCCATTAGCTACTCACACATCATTTAAATAACCTCATTCAACTCTCAGGACAGGCCTTAAGCACCTGGGTGGTGGCTGGATCATTGAACAGCCCCTAATATCCCACCAAGAGAGATGGGGCTCAGAACCAGTTTGATATGAATATTACTGATTTTAATTTGATTTAGAGCAGGTCCTCGAGGCTCCAGTTAGCTCTTCCCTGCATGGAGCTATGCCAATCTTTTCTATTTTGAGCTCTTCAGGACAGCCTAAGAAAGGACAAGAGGGAAGCACCTCGCTCAAGGTCAGCACTGCAGGATCTCCCATGCTCTGCTGAACCCTCTGACATTCAGAGTGCCCCACACACAGCTCCTGTCTCCTCCTCATCCTCTTCTGATCCCTGCCAACTGATGTTCAGGTAGCACAGAAACTCCAGTCCAGATCCTTGGCAAAGCACTTCAGTGGGCTTAACCTGCAGCCACGAGCCCCTCGGGAGTTTCTTTTATCTCTGCTGATGCCCTGACAATCATTATTATCCTGTCTCTGTCCCTCACAGGAACTCACCAAGAAAGGCATAAAACAGCTGGTAGATGTCAAAAGGCAGACAGGAATATTCTACATTTAAGAAAGGGATGCACATAGGGACAAAACAGAAAAAAACATCCCAAAGACTACAAAATACATGTAATTAATTAGATTGATTATTTAATTCAGGTTAGATCAGTCTATTTTAAGCAATATATACATTTGCTTTCTTTAAACTGTTCCTTTATTCAATTGCACATTAAGTTTCATTATAGTGGTAAGTGAAAGGGACTGCAGATAAAATTTCCATGGTACAAAACCCTAAGGGTATCTAGGTAATAAATGAAAACAGTAGTTTTGTCTGCTCAGATTCATGTAGTATATGCATGGATGGGATTGAACTTCATTATAAAACTCCTCTAGTTCATGTAATCTACACTACCTCTATTTTTCCCAACAAACTACATCCAATTTTCTTCCTCCTATGACCTACTTACTCTTTTATTTAATACTTTTGATACCTCAGAAGCATTCTTCAACTCACATTTTCTACTTGAAACATAAGTAAGCCTTTGCAACTTGAAACATGTGAAAAAGCAAAGTTGTATCTGTCTTTTTATCTGATTTCAGCTCTATCATGCACCAAAATAAAGCTCAGGTCACTGAAGTTCGAGGCTACTTGTGGATGGAGCCAGCTTTGGTTTATTTCTTCAGCCTGTACTGGCAGTCAGTGCAGAAAAAAAGAGTCTCATGACTTTTTGATAACTTTTCATTCGCTTAGAGAATTCATTAGGAAATTAGGACAAGTTACAACAAGATAAAAATAATTTTGCCAGGCTTCCCACCTAAGACGACATCGTACTGGAAGAAGAAAACAGTTACTTTCCTTACCAAAGCTGCACAGATTTCAGAGATTTGATGGCACTAACCTCTGTCATGGCAGAGTATGACATCATTGGTATTTATTAGTACAGAACAGAAGATATGACCTACTAAATCAACAGTCTCCTGGCTACTGCCTAAGTGGAGTTCCTGCCCACAGTGCTATAAAAAGATATATATAAAAAGACTGACTCTGAAAGTCAATGGAAAGTATAAAACGTTCACTGCATCTCAGAAGAAAAAATGCTAAATTACTTAGACACATATGATCCTTTTTTCCTTCCCATTATAAACAGAATTACCTCAGCTGAGAAGCTTGAGGCATGATCTTATTCCATAAAGCCCACTTATACTGGAAAAATAATTAAATGATAGTGCATTCCTGCTGCAGGCCTTCTTTGCTAGGGTAACTGACACCGAATGGGAAAGCTATTATCAGCTTATAGCAAGATACTTTTTTCTGCTTATCTCAACTAGCTTGCTATCTTTCTGGCATATTTCTTTTCACTGTTCCACATGGTGAAGTTTCTCCTCTGGAGAAAAGTAAAAGTTTTGTATAGTAAAAGCCCTAATTTGGTAGCTCCATTAATATATTAATATAGAATTTTATAGAATGTATGTTTTCCATCTAAGCAGATACATACCAAAGAAACCCATGCCAAAATGAGACATTCAGAAGCTTATATTTCTGTAAAAAAAAGTCCTAGAAAACATTCTCCCAGGCAAATACCTGGGGATTTTTTTCTGCTGTGCCTGTAGGGAGAACACGGCCTGGAAGGTGAAATTATGTATCAGAACAGAGAACCAGCATCAGCAAACTCACCCAGATGCAGTTCGTCTGCTCACCTGTATCTTCACCAGGCACACCTGAGGGTGAAGCAGTCCCTGTGCTGTGACATTGCCTTCAATCATTGGGAAGGAGCCCAGCAAAGACTAGACTCCCCTAATCCCCTGTGTTACTGAGAAAATACTGACAGGAGAAGCCCTGAACTACTTCCACTAATCAGAAGCCAGAAGGTTTGAAGGCAAATAAAACCTACTAGTTGTATGGAGTGAGAAGAAAATATTGTGTATTGGGGCTCACAAATATGGAGAATAGAGTCTTCAAAGGAGGAAGAAACATGATTTTCTTGCTTCTCCATCACATTTTCAACCACTTTGCCAACAAAAGGAGAACATGGCTGAAAGATCTGGTATTTGAGGTTCACTTTGCTTGTTCTTTGCTTGCCTTGTACCTTAAGAAACTTAAGATCTGTAAGCTAATAAAATCATACCAAGAAAGTTCCATGGTCCTCTTTTTTCTTTACATCTGTAGAAATTAACAGTAACTTTAGGTACCCTGAGAGAACCAGTGTAAATATAATACAGAGCAAATCAATACGCAGGTGTGCAAACATAACTTAAAGTTACACTCGGTTTAGTCTAAAAACAGCTGGTTTTGCTAAGCCTTGTCTACTTAGACTAAAGAGTGATCATAAATGTTTCATTAAAAAGTCTGCCAATCATTATATCCTGGCCTGATATCCAAGTAAAAAGCAACACTAATGTCTATTTCAACAAACACTTAAAAGTTTTGAGTTCAAATTATGTCTGATAGTACAATAGATATTTCATAGTTTCTTCCAGTCCCACTGCATTAATCTGGGTACCATGAAATGGCACAACTAGAATTTACATCTTAGCATCCAAGGAGGACACAACAGCACTAACAACACAATGGCATTGAGGCACATTCACTCCTGTCCTTTAGTATTCAATTTTATCATACTGTCAAGTCTGTATTGTTAATTTAAATTCTACATGCTTCACATTAATCAATTTGTAGCAACATTGCCCTTCTTCCCCAGGCATTTTGTCAATGATCATTACTTACTGTTAGATTTTACAATAATGGTTACCCCTTGAGTAAAAATAAAAATCTCCACTACTTGTCAATCTTTTGATCTCATCACTTTTCAAAATTAGCACAGGTTTTATTTGTCTTAGCCTTCAGAAAATAATTTGTAGTACAAAACAGACAGGAAAGGAATATGAAACAAATAATCTTTCTCTATGAACTTACCCAAATACATGAATGTAATTGAACTCACATACCAGAATTCCTTCTACTTGTTTCACTTACACTGTAGAAAAGCACTTTACTCCATGAAGTAAATTCAGCTTATAAAGCAAGGTGACAATTACAAAGTCTAAGATGCACAAATACATGTGGTGGGGTCCTGTAACTATAGGAAATAGCCTACCTGTTTCTTACAGGTACACAAACATCAACCATTCAAGAAAAAAAATGCCTTTCAGTCATTGCTGCACCCTGTCATTTTAGAGGATGAGCACCTATTAAAATCCCAAAAGCAAAATATAATAGCAAATACAGGATGTCAAAAATGCCTTCAATTACACTCATACAATCCTGGATGGCCCTGCACACAAAATCTAAAGCATTTATAAAATAAAAACAAACTTTACCTTTAACATTCTCTCCAAATCCCATAGAGGCAGAAACTGAACTATCTGTTTCTGTTTTGCTACTTGTTTTCTCTTTCATCACATCATCATCACTTGAAACATCATCAGAATTCATCTTCTTTTTCTTTTTTTTATGTCGAGGAGGGAGCTTTTTCGGAAAGGTAAACATGGGAAATATCACAAGGAGCATAGCAATGGCACAAAGGAGAAATCCACTCCACCTAATGCCAGGAAAACAGGAATGGAAACAAAAAGCAAACACATTAAATTAAACAAAAAAATCCAAGTTACTGCCAGAGGCTACACTGGTTGGAAAGACACATTTGCAAAGTATGAAAAACTGACACTAAGAGTAAAGAATTGGAGTAGGGGAGAACCTTCACCACACTAAAATCCTTTATCAGAAGATGTTTCTTTTGGTTTATTTACTGAAAGGTATTTATCCAGAACCCACCAAATTTTATTAAATAGTGTCAGCTTTAAGTTAAATTTTCAATTTTGGTAATTTGTCAGTACCAAGTGCTGAGAATTAGATATTCACTCTGACTTAGCCTTTCACAGATAATTCCCAGTAAAGCAATGTAGTATTTCTCTGGAGAACACAGAAAAAGCTATCCATGTCATGAGAAGACAAAATGTCCTGATACATCAGGGCTAAATCTGTTCTGCTTTCCAGTGCCTACCTCTCACTGCCCTGACTTGTCCAATTCCCCTCCCTTCACAACTGAAGAGTTCCCAAAGCCTGAATGTAAACAAATAATGTGCTATAATTCATGCCAGAGTTTATGCCTAAAACTCTGTTCTGTGACTGCAACCTGAAATAGCCTTCACAAAGAATTTCTTCTTCTCTCTCTCTGTCTTTTAAATATGGGATATAAAAACACCCCTGAAATGATCCCTTGGCTCTCAGGGAATGACCTGGGACATACCGACAGAAGGGACAATGTGTGGGATACAGAAGAGAGCTCTTCAGCTGCATACAGTTGTCCTCCCTGCAGCCAAAAAGCTTCATGGACTTCACCACAGCACTACAGATGGGCAAAAGGGTCGCACTAGGAAGTTCTATAGAGTTAACTCGAGTCAGCAGCCAGAACACTGATAGCAGAGTGTCAGATAAAATCATTTCTCCTCTGAGTTCTAACAGTGAGAGACTAGGGGAAACAAAACCTCACACAGCTGGTTCCATAAAGAAGGACAACCTCAGAATTCACCTACAAAGTTCTTCTTACATATTGGAAGTGCAGTTTTCACTACAGACTCATCTCATTGCACCAGGTTTACATGGCAAGGTTTTGGTAGCACGGTGGGGACTGCAGGAGTTCTGTGAGGAGACATCATGAGCTGTCCCATACTGGACAGAGACAGCTCCAGCCAGTTTTCAAACAGATTCATCACTACCCAATGCTGAGTCTATCAGAATGCTTGTGGCATATTGGTGTTCACTTACTTAAGAAAGGGGAAAAAAAACCTGCACAGCAACTGTGTGAAGGGAGTGAGAAAACAGGAAAGAAACAGCCCTACAGACCCAAGGTGAGAGGAGGGGAGAAGGGGGCTCCAGGTGCAGACATTCACCTGTATGCCCAGGACAAGGCCATGGTATTCACCTCCAGACTGTGGGGAACCCACGCTGGAGCAGGCTCGAGCAGGAATCGTGGCCTGTGGAGAAGACACCCACAGGAGCAGGTTTTCAGGCAGGACATGTCACTCACGGGGGATGCTGCACGCTGGAGCACTCTGTTCCTAAAGGACTGCACCCAATGGAAAGGCCTTGTGCTAGACTAGTTAATAAAAGACTGTCTGAAGCAGATAAGGAGCAACAAAGACAAGGTGTTACAAAGTGACACAATCCCCTTTCCACAGCCCACTGCATCACTCCAGTGGAGGATGTAGAAGAGTCAGGAGCGAAACTCAGCTTTGAGAGAAGGAACAAGTGGCTAGGAGGTGCTTGTAGGTTTCTTTTTAATTCTTTCTATCCTACTCTGCTATTAATTGGTGATAAATTAATTTCCCTAAGTCAAGTCTGCTTAGCCCATGATAGTAATTAGTGAGGTCAAGTCCACATTTGTTATCAAAATGATAGTAAAGAGGCAGCACTACACATGAATTAATCTTGAATATCTGACATGATAAGCATTCTCTTAATCCTCGATCAATCATTTGATAGCTTCAAATCACTTACTTAGTAGGCAACTCTTTAACTCAGCCATCAAAGAATGTTGTTGGCCATGGAATAAAAAAAGCATGCTTTCTTTTAGAGTTTAATAAAACACATACTTCATTCTCTACTTTGACTGTAGTGCAGCATAGGGATGTCAAAGCCAGTTCAAGGGGCAAGATTGGATAGGGAAAGCAGTAGAGCTGCCTGGTTTGGGATAAAACTCTACCCTAACCTGGCAATGCCAGGTCTGATAACTGACCTACCTGCACTGGCAGCAACTCAGAGATTTCAGATGCATTGGGCAGTGTAGACACACTCTGCAGGATGATTTCCGGACAAATAGGTTCATTTCTATTGTTTGTTTTTTATACATTTAAACATACAGTATTTTTCTTTGGTGAACTGAGCCATAAACCACTACAAAGGAGAGGGATGATCAAGGCTTCAGTTAGCAAAGAAGTATGTTCATATCAGTACTCAGAAAAATAGGCAGTGATACCTCATAATGTCAGCAGAACAGGGAGAAAATTCGATGGAAGGCTCATAGATCGAGATAAGGACAGGAAAAACCCTCCACAGGACAGAGGAGAGAAAACTTAATGAAAGGCTCCCACTAGCTGCAGGGGAATCTCTGCTCTGGCACCTGGAGCACCTCCACCTCCTCTTCCTTCAATGACATTGGGGTCTGCAGAGCTGTTTCTATGGCATACTCATTCCACTTTCTTCTGACTGCTGCTGGTGTTGCACATGTCTTTTTATTTCTTGCTTTTTAAATATGTTATCCCAAAGGTGCTACCACCACTACTGATGGTCTCAACCTTGGCAGCCTCCTCTTGGAGTTGGCTGACTGGCTCTCTCAGGCAGAGGTGAAGCTTCCAGCAGCTTCTCATAGAAGCCAACCTTGTAGCCTTCCCACTACCAAAACCTTGCCATGCAAACCCAATATAAGAACAATTTTTACATATTTTTGTACTATCTTTACACTATTAATTATGTATTTGTTCAAATTTTAAAACATTTTACATTCTGAATAGACAGAATTACTTGTACAAGAAAGAAAAAGCATTTGGCCTCATATTTGTCTGCAAAGATACTGAAAAACTTCATTTTTCATATGCAATGCTTTGTATGGTAAATTACTATACACAGGCAAACAACAAATAAACAGCCATGTGTAACACTATTTTTATTAGAAGCTTACAGGAAGCTTTTGCAAGGCAAATATAAGTGACTGAAAGTTTTGACTAATTTTGATATTATGTAAACAGAAAATCCTCTATTCATTCATTTTAGCTGATAACATACATGGATTAGAAAGCAGACTTTTAGGAGGATTAGTCAGCACTGTCAGACAGAATAAATCCGTAGTCTGTATCAAAATGTAGCAACATCCCTTTCAGGATCTCAAAGGCAGAAGCTGCAAAGGCACTGATCAAAGAAACAATCTGTGGCAATAATATGCAGAAATCTGCAACCACCCACTCAGGAGGAAGCAGCAAAGGAGACAGGGCCTGTAATGTAGCACAAGATGAAATTCATATCCAAAGGGACTGTTATGACAGCATACCAAATGTTGGAGATGTCACAAATGCAGCACTGGATGCAATTATCTCACCATCTACACTTCACAACTTCCTGCAGAAATATCAAACAATTGGAAAACAGACAAAAAACGGTATCAAAAATAATAAGGACACCTACAGTGGGAAATTGAGAGGTCAGAACAGGAGGTAAATTAATTTAAAAAGCCCTTGATTTTCTGTCTTCTAAAGTCAAAGAAAATATGCAGAAGAATACCTCAAAGGCATCCGCACAAGCCCTAGGACCTCAAATAAAGCAATTAAAGCTAAGGAAGGACCAGACAATGCTGAAGGAATTCCTTTAAACTTCTTGTGTGGAATGTTGATGAGAGACTACATAGGAAGATCCAAGTATTAAACAGATTCTGAACTAGGAAAACACTCAGAAAAGCATCAGCAAAAGAAAATTTGATTCAAAGCACCTGACAGACCGCCAAGGGCTACTCCACAACTAATGAGGTCCCTATATAGCATATTAGCAGTTTTCAAAGACAACAACATGATGAATGATTTCTAACAGATATCCCCACAGTTACCAAATTTGAATAAAAAACAGTTTCAAACATTTGATGAGCTGGCATAGAGAGCCGGCTTGTAATTTAGCCTAGAGCACCTACAGAAACCCCAGGTGTGCAAAACCTAGGAGCAGAAATCCAAGTCCTGTGAAACTCAAGGAATAATCAGATCAGAAATAACCCTGAAAAACAACCATTTTATTTCACCATGTTGCACAAGATTACATGTCCTGCAATATACCTCCTAGAAAAGAATAGCTTAAGGAAAAAACGAGACTATACTGGTTTTAGTTTAGCCATATATCATAGTTGCTATACTCACTATTTTGTCTGTAAGCATTGCCTCCTCTGACAATGGAAATTGTTAAATTGGGTCCCACGATAAGTTACATTAGGAACCTTAAAGCTATAATAAAGAAAAGATAGGAATCAAAGACACTAATTCACTTCAAAGGGAATAAGACTCAGAAATCTCATATATGACTTCCCATTAAATTATCTCAATTGAACCACACTTTTAAAGTGTGTCAGCTGAAGTAAGTGTTGAGCTACTCTTACATTTCAAATTGTTAGATTGCATAAATAAAAATAAACTTGACTATGCAGCACTTCCCTACAAGGAGAAAATGTCATAGTCCCAGAAAATACATTTCAGTGGAATGAAATGTACACATCCAGAATTCTCTGCAACCAGGCAGTTAGCAAGTAGCAAGGGACAAAGGTTTAACCTTCACATCACAGGAGTCTTGCTTTTTTCAATGGGTAGATATAGCTTCAGAAAGAGAAAAGAGAATGAGACAAATGCTATGAACACCACTAAACTCTTATGAGAGGCTACCACAGCTTGTGCATCAAATTATCAGGGACCTGATGGCAGTTGATACTCCTCAGAAATTTAAGAGAGAAAGAACTGACATAGTCAAAAATGAACGAGAAATAAAGACTTGGAATACCATTCAAGGAAAGCCAGACCCTATAGATTTAATCACCAAGATAAAAAAAGAAAACTTTGAATGATTTTTACTGACTTTGTTGCTTTGACTATTTTACTTTTGCTGAAGCTGCTTGAGTTAAAACTCAATTATATCAGTGGTTGTGTTATAGATAAAGTCAAAAGTTTATCCCACATTCATACAGCCCCACTGATTCCAATTAACAAATATATTTATAGGCCTGTTTGCAACTTCTGTCAAAAACTACTGATCAGATGCTGATTACCAGTCCTGACATGCCATTAAAAACACATGAAGTATAAGAATTTTACAAAGAATGTATAATATTTTGCTTTGATTCCAAATCTTTTATACTAGAATAGTCCAAATTTTGACATTGCTGCACACTCACAGAACTGATCTTTTCAGTGAGATGTCAGTAGGTAAATCAGAGCAGGGAGTTATTAATCCCAAGGCTGCACCCAGCACTCAGCTTTGCCTTTCTCTTGCTGAAAATTTGACAAAATACTGCAGCAATTCCCTTGGACAAAGTTAGACCAATAAAGCAGACTAAATCCTTAAAAGTTTAGGAAGAATCCAAAGAGAGAATTTTTCACATCAAACTGTCAGGAAAGATCACTGCAGAATAAACAGAAAGAGATACACACTGACTGCAATGGTGCAGTGACAAATGCTAACTCAGGGCATGAGAACTGACACTGCACCTTACACCTAAAAAGCAGAGTTCTCTTCCTGGGATAATGAACTTCAGGTTTTTTCTGGCATTGCATGAAAATGTCAAGGCAGATTTACAATCTATCTGAGAAAAGACATTCTCCTCAAGATCTGCTTCCTCAAAGACACATTTCCAAGGATGCCACATCTCAAAGGCTGCCTGAAGACATCAGCTAACAATTAGAGCTGCTACATCTCAGTGCTGCTGGAAGCCAACTCCTTATTGAGAATAATGTGATGGTTTACAGCATCTGCTGCCTAAACACAAGCCATTACCCTGAGAAAGAAAGATTGGAAAGGGCATTCTCTGACCCCATCCTATCTCCTTCACCTGAAATAGGATCAGTAAAGTCTAGTGTTTCTCATCTGGGCAGCAGAGTTCAGTGTTCCATGCTGCCTCTGGAAAACCAAAGAAGAGATTAATCCAGCTTCCAGTAGGAAGGGGTCAGTTCTGGGCAGCAGAGATCATTCATGGCCTCCTGCAACACCAGTACCCTGCCCTGCCATCCCTGTGATGAGCACTGTCAGTCAGTGCCCACTGTGCTCAGGGACAGTCCTGAACAGCCAAACGTATGGGGCTTTCCATGCTCTGCTCCTGTGCACTCCTATGGCAAACCTTTCCTCTCTGTCAGAGGCTAGTGTATAGAAATCAACACGAACACCATCTTCCTTGGCCTCCTTCTACAACCTTAAACAAGTCCTCAAGGGATAAAATCTTCCAACCTGTCTTAATTTCCTACTGGCAACTGCGAGAATAGTTTTGAAAAATGCTCGATCCTTACCAGTTTCCAATGAATCGGGGATCACTCTGGTCAATGTACACAGTTGTCCTAGGATCAACATAGAAACCAATAAGAAGTCCTCCTAATAAGTATCCAGCTGCAGGTCCAAGTGCTCCCATTACGTACATGATGGCTGAGGAAATAAAAGGTCAGAGTCATACATAAATAAAATTAATGTTCCTTGTTTATTTACACATGAAATCACATAGTAAATAATGCTTCTTTAAACAAGAAGTTCTGCACCCTAAAACTTTTAGAGATCTTTTTTGCAACCAAGGCAGCAACTTCTGGCCAAGTCACATACACATTAGTAAGAAGATTACTGCCTTCTGCACATTTTCAGTCAAATTATGCAAGTATACACTATTTTGGTATTCTGGATGGAAAGCATACTTGACTTGCATAAAATTTTTCCTATTTGGTAACATTTCATTTCAATAAAATCAAAATTATTTAACATATAAATTTTTTAAAAGTCTAACTAATGGTAGGGAAACAGAAAAGCAGAAAAGCGAAGAATAAAAATTGCAATTGGAGAGCAAAATACAACATTCTAATTTAGTTACCATCAGTCTAATACTGTGTATAAAAGATTGGTCCATTTTAAGAAATCAAATATTCCTATTTCAGAGATTGAGAGAACACACGTTCAAAAAGGAAAGTCCTACTTAACTAACTTGTTACCTTTCTATGGTAAGGTCACCCACCCAGTGGATGAAGAAAATGAGATGGATGTGGTTTTCCTGCATTTTAGTAATGCTTTTGATACTGTCCCTCACAGCATCCTTCAGGACAACTTCTCCATCTATGGGATGCGTGGCTGCAGGCTGTGCTGGGTGAAGAACTGGCTGAATGGCAATGCTTAAAGGGGGCAACTGGTCACCAGTGGTGTTCCCTGGGGGTCAATTCTAGGGCCAGTTCTGTTCAATACATTTACCAACAACCTGAAGGCAGGAGTCGAATCCATCATTAGCACATTTGCTGATGACCCCAAACTGGGAGGTGCTGATGACTCTTTGGGGGGACAAGAGGCCTTGCAGAGGGATCTACACAGACTGGAGCACTGGACAGCGATTAATGGCATGAAGTTTAACAAGTCAAAATACCAGATTCTGCAGCTGGGATGGACCAATCAGGCACAGATTAGTGTAAGTATAAACTGGGAGAGGAGTGGCTGGAGAGGCTCTCTGCAGAAAGGGCTCTGGGGGTGCTGGCTGGCAGCAGGCACAGTAAGAATCAGCAGCGTGTCCTGGAAGCCAAGAGGGCAAACCCCATCCTGGGGTGCATCAAATACAGAATCACCAGCTGCTCAAGAAAGGTGATTATTCCAGTGTGTTCAGCACTGGTGCAGCCTCACCTAGAGCACTGTGTACAGTTCTGGACACCACAATTTAAGGATGTGAAGCTCCTTGAATGGGTCCAGATAAGTGCAACAAAGCCGGTGAGAGGGCTGGAAGAAATGACCTATGAGGGGCAGCTAAGGACTTGAGGCTTCTCTAGTTTGGAGAAAGGAGGCTGAGGAGCAAGTTCATTGCTCTACAGCTTCCTGAGGAGGGAATCTTTACTCACTGAATCTTTTCTCTCTTATATCCAGTGACAAGATACACAGTAATAGTTCAAAGCTTCACCAGGGGAGGTTTACATTGGATCTAAGGAAGCATTTCTTTATTGAGAGGGAGGTCAAACACTCGTGAAGGTTTCCTAGGGAGGTGACAGACTTATCAGTGTGTTTAAGAGGCATTTGGACAATGCCCTTAGTAACAGATTTTAGTTTCTAATGAGCCCTGAAGCAGTCAGGAAATTCGGATGAGATGACCGTTGTAGATCCCCTCCAACTGAAATGCTCTGTTTTATTCCACTCTGTTCCATTCCCCTACAATATCTCTTTCCTTCCTTAATATATCCTGCAGTACCCACTCCTTTTAAGATGCTTCTGCCCTGCTTCTCATGCAGTCTGCCTGTAAGTATAAAAGACAAGGGGGTGGAAGGGTTGGTCTCTGCTGTCCACTCACATATCTTGTACCACCAAAACCCAAGCTCCAGCACAGCAACACTTGCTCAGCTGCTGTAGATCCTCTAGCAGCACATGAAAGAACTGATTATCTAATTCTCTGTGATTCTCTTTCTAGGTCCAGATGGTTACTGGACTAGTCCCTGTTCACAACAGGAGTATGCAGACTCCATCCTTTTTGGTCCCATCCTCAACCACACATGCTGAATCTTAGACTGCAGCAGCTGAAGAAGCATAACTGAGTTGTTACAGCTTGGGTTTCTTCCATGTTACTTGCTACAGTAAATTATGTCTCACAGATAAAATAAACAAAATAAAATCACTACATCTATCTGATTAAACCAAAATATCTTGCACATTTCTTACATTTTGAAATAAGAGAATGAAGAAAAAGAGCATTCATGCAAGTAAAAAGAGAGCCTTACTGCAGAAAAAAAAAAAAAAATCACAGAAGTTACCACAAAAGGTAAAACTGCCTAAACAAAAAAATGCTGCCAGACCACAAATTGATTACACAGTTTTTTCATTTTTAAGTAATTTTTTGTAAGCATATTTTGGGGTTTTTTTAAACTGCAATTTTGAATATACAGATTTTGCTGAAGTCCTTTTCACATAATGGTTTTCAGAACTGTGTTCACTATTTAAATTTATTCCAGCCATGTTCCCTACTGAATTGATTGTAAACAATTCTCTGTATGCCTAAAATGCTCCATGAGACATTGCAACTCTGCTCCTTAGCAGCAAGTGGTTAGATAAATCCCACAGTAACTGTTATTTGCAAAATTCATGTCATGAGGAAGAAGAAAACCAACAACAAACAGAAAACTATCTTCACACTCCCACAACCAATAATATTGTGCTATAAATGTTTGCTTGGATAATTGATTCAGACAACTACAGCAAACTCAGATCTCTAAAATCTTTAGAGAAGAAACACAAAGGGAGTAAAAGACTGACTTAATCCATTCACTTCAGTATTCAGAAAAAATACTTATACTGTGCATTAATTCAGCTTTAGTACCACCACTGAAAGCAGCAACTGCTTAGGTTTCAAAACACTACCCAAAAGTGTATTTTGTACACCTGGAAACTTCAGAGGGTTTTCCTTGTAAGCAGAAATATTGCACAATAAAAATAAAAGTAACACTGTTCTCCTTTAGAGGAAGAAATTCAACAGTTTCAGGAGTATTTTAAAATTACTATATGCTGCTCAGGCTTCAAGATGTATTTGTTTTTAATATAACTTACAGACAGAATGTCACTTTCTAAGTCTTTCAGAAAACAAAGAGCTTCCATGTTCCTGGTCAATGGTAAGAGGAAGCATCAGCAGTAAAGTTCTTGAAATTGCCATTTTAAGATACATTGCAGTATCTTTTTCAGCATCTTATAATGGTCACTATCAGAAATTGGACAACTAGTGCAAGAAACTGATTTAGACTTATAAATGGGACTACACATAGAGCACTGCAAGCATAACGTTTCAGTGTTTCAAAATTAGGTACCTGAAAGAATCTGCCCCAAACTTTCAAACCTTGCTGTGGAAGTGAAGGGCAAACCAGCTCCATAAGTCACCCTGGCAGGCTACTCAAGGGTCCTAGACCCTTAAAATTCTGGTCACAGCCCTCACAGCTATATTCAAGAATAAAGACGTTTTTGATTCCCAAGTAGGCCACCAGGATTACTGGATGATATAGAAAGGAAACTAAACTGGAAAGAGATTCAATAAGGGTGTCATCAAAATTGTACCTGCTTCACACATAAAAAATCCTACAGGAACAATTTCAGATTTTTTTCCACTTGGAACACTAGAAGGTCTCCACTTTTTGGCTGAAAAAGGTTCAAAAACATGTAGATGATGTATATAAGCACTTTCCTTTCAGCCTTCTGCCAGGGATTTCAGCTAACTCTTTTTGGTCCTCCCCCTTCAGGCCATGATCTGGGATCTTGATCTAGGGAGTTGCACAGATGTAACAGCCAAGACCTTTCAATGGAAGTAACAAACATTTTTCCCCCCCTATCAGGGGGCATGCTGGAGTACTGTGATGCTAAGGCAGGGCACACAATATCCAGTATAAATTTTTAAGGAAAAATAAGGAAATACTAAGGAAATCCAGCATTTGTCTTATAAGCTCATAGCCATAAGCTTGACTGGTGCTTAGATTTGCAAGTAACCTTACTATTTCTAAGTCACAAAACGCTATGCTGTGAAATAGTGGCAATATGTCCTTTCCGATGATAAAACAAAGATTACATACATTCCAGGAGTTAGAAGTTCTATTCCAAACCATAAATTATCCTCAGTAGATAAAAGGAGGAAACTATTGTTTGTATAGACATATGGGCAACAACATCAATCTGAATCTCTTCTGATTGGGTTGCAGTGGAATGCAGGATTGCACCCCTCTGAGTTCCTGCACTCGTCACGCATGTTCAATGCTGACAAGTCACATTACAATTCTGTGGGAACATGGGAACACTGTTCTATGTGAACTCTTTAGGAAAGCACATCTGCAGGTCACCTACTGCTACCCAACTTCACAGAACCACAGAATATACTGGGGGCTGGAAGCCACCCACATTCCTAAGTGAATGGCCCACACAGAGATCAAATCCATGACTTTGGCATTAACAGTAACATGCTCTACCCAACTGAGCTGATCTCAGGGTGACTTAGAGCCATCTGAGAACTACTCACGACAGTCAACACAACCAGCTCAAACTGGACCTGGCAAAAGCTTTTCCCCAGAAGTCTGTTGTAGCTTGCTGATGCTGCTGTCATGTAGGATCCTAAGTCTTCAGAGGAAAGCACAGATTGTTTTACTAAAATTACACGGCCTTTAAACAAGACAATTTCAAAGACCAAAGACCTTGTGGATTCTTTGAAGTCTCCCTCTTCTCCAAAGATCTTAGTGTTGTGGTTAAGAGTTTCCATTACCAAGCATATCTCTTCCTCTGGGTGTACTTTCTCTTCAGTGATGAGGGATGGCCTTTCCCAGCCCTCTCAAACCTGGTCTTTCAGATCATAGCTCTACCTCTGACACAGACTATAGATAAGTAAAACATCCTGGTTCAGAGAGAGTGAGTTAAGTGCCCATTTTCACCCAAGATATCTAGCCACGGCA